CGGGCAGGACCACTCGGGCCAGGTCCTCCAAAACCGAAGCTTCCAGACAGTCCGAGACATAGATTCGAAATCTTCCACAGCTAAACCAATGGCATCGAGTTCTTGCCTGGGTTCCCGAGGCAGCTCCTGAACTTCTTGCTGGATGATCTCCAGGGAAGACTCCGTGGCCGAGCAGCCGCCCTCGCTAGACGAAAGTTTCATACGTTCGGCCCACATCGAGGCCGAGGCAGCTGATTGCGGTAATGCACGATACTGCCTCGTGCGGGGCCTTCGCCCTTTGCCAGCCAGCATGCGGATAGCTTGTGTACCAAGTAGTAGTTGCGTTGCTCTAGTGCTTGCTTGAGTCCAGCGACACGTCTGTTGCGAACATCTTCCCAGTATGTTCGAGCCGTGTCCCGAAGCTGGCGACTGGGGTGTTTGATCGCGTCGGTCATTTGCTGTGCGACAAAATCACTAGTTGACCTGCCTAGTAGTTCTCGCTATCGTCTACGCTGCTGTAACAGTACGCCCAGAAGTTGTGCACTAGAAACTTTCTCCTCCGTGTAAAGCGGGGAGGCAGTAAATACTTCACAGGCGGCGGAGTTGAGCACTCTCATTAGCGTGGCGTTCATATCGTCAACCTTGCCCTCCTCATACATCCTCTTGAACTCCTCCATTACCTCCTCCGCCTTCTGATTCAGTACGGTGATGAACTCCTCACGTTTAAATCCTAGCTGCACACACTCGTACATGGCCTCTCGATTAGGCCAAGCGGGACGCTCAGGAAGCGGAGCAGCAGAGGCGATGATGTGCGCAACTAAAACGACTGGCCTGTGGTCCCTGGCTGAGATTGTTTGATGTAGTTGGAGCCGCCTAGCACTTCTAGCATGAACTAGGCAACTCTCGACTGCAGGAAGGAGCCCACGAGGGACCACCACGTGGTCTATGTGACTTTCGCCAGTCTCACCGACATAGGAGGCAACATTTGGGAAGAAGGTGTTCGCGGCGGAGAGGTCCCAGGCCTGCAGCACGGGGCGGATGGCGGCAGAGGCGGGGCAGGGGTTGCCGACGCCATATTCTCCTGCGACGTAGTCGTCATCAGACTGCCTGAGACCTCCATTCAAATCCATGTAGAGAAGGGGAAGAGCGTGCTTGCTGTCCAGGAACTCGAGAGTATTCTGCAGCCATGCCACTAGAGAGGCCACTGCTTTGTCATACACCTGCTTCTGTCCCGTCTTAGAAACTCAAGGTGGAAAGTAAAGCCCGATAATGCCGAACGCTTGCTCCTGCTGCCTCACGAATAGACAACCAGCTCGACCCCACAACTGCTTGGGCACTGGTAAAGTTATTTTGACCGATTGTTTTAGAAATCGACTCTTCTTCAGCAGGATGGTAATGCCACAAGATGGAGTAACAAGTGGCCCTCGCTTGTAACCAGACTGATAGCAACGAAACGAATCCACAATTCTCTCTGGCTCGACAAGCTCGCCCGTGCTGCGCAGCTGGGTCCCGCCTAGCACGATGGCGTCGTGGGACGGGTACTCGGCGACAATGTCTGCGATCCTGGCGACGCGGGAGGCCGCGCAGGGATAAAGCCGACGAAGCGAAACAAACTGGAGGCAGAGCTCATGAGCGAGCCGCCCTCGGGCACACCGCCGCCATGGCTGCCAGGCGAGAGGGCCCTGGCGAGTGTGAGATCTGAGCAGCGTGTGAGGTGGATCTCGTTCTCTCATCACTCGGGACACCTGCAGGAGGAGGAGGAGGAGGAGGAGGAGGAGGTGTTACATATGATGATTGTGGCAAGGTCAGGTGAGCAGTGCTAAACAGCTGTATCAACATTGCTGTGAGAACAGTGCCAGGCAGCTGGAACGGCCGCGGCGCCCGAAGAATCTTCTGGAACCGACGGATCTCAGAGATCATTCGCTTGTCTTGGGCCGACTTCTTCCCGGTCCTGGCCTCGTCTTCACGAACGCTGCGGCGACCGTTTGCCTTGGATCGGCCAGCACGCGTGCGGTTCGAAGTGGGTTTGCACGGGCGGAGGTCCCTCGCTCAAGCTGCACGCTCTGCACTCTTGCACCTGAGGCGCTGCCGCCGCTTGTTGGCGGGCGCCGTGGCGCAACCGCCTGGAAGGAAAAGACCTCTGGCCGATCCCCGCCCCAACTGGGCCATGGTATCCCAGGCCCACTAGTTCACCCGCACCCCGCCAAACCCGAAAGGGAACAGCATACATGTCGTCGAGTGAGATCCCACCCCGAACCACACCTCCAGGTCGGTTGCGGGGGTCGCCGCGGCCCCCCCCCAGCTCTGCGATGCAGACGTGGCTCATAGTGACAACACAGCAACAGAGAGTTGCCACTTCGTGTCCAACATGGGATGACAACTTCTTTGGTTAAGGGTCGACAGTCACGCAACCAACATGGGCGTGATTGAGGTTCGGCCAATGTGCCATTGCGGTGCTCTCGAGTACGATGCAGAGAAATGCCGAACACTTGCAGACGGCCACACAGCCATCCCGTGTGAACGCCATATTGTGGCCCCAACGGGCGCTCCAGCATACAATCATCGAGCTGGGTTCCCACCAGTTTCGAGAGGATGTCATGAGCGATTCGCGTGTTTCGAATTTGCATGGAACGAGGTTCCAAACCATATTTCCAACGATGAAATCCCGCGCGAAACGCTCATTTTCAAGTTGGTTTGAGCCAGGCACACCCCAGTTTCGGAAGAATGTCCCGCGCGAACATGATTCGAACCAGGTTCCAAGCCATATGTTTGAGGGAGTCCCTCACGAAACGCTCACTCTCTCATTGCTTCGAAGCGGCTTCCATTGTTCCGAATCTGGATTCGCACTCGGTTCGAACTTCCTTTGTAAGAAAGCTACACGCGGTCTGCCGTTTTCGAGCGGCCATCCCATTCAGACTCACACAAATGAATTGGAGGTGCAAGCTCGAGGTTGCCCGCTCCACCGTTGGCACAGCTCCGCCCCCGTCACTCTACCAGGAACCGCGCCCCGAACGGGACCGACCCGCGGTCCCGCTGCCCGCGCCCGCCGCACCTCTCAATCCGCACTGCGTCAGCTTGTCGAAACAATTGGGCGATCTTCTGTAGTCCAGGCTGATTAGTTGGTCGACCCTGCCAAATCAAGGGTACACTTGTGTCCTGTGCTTCGCGACCCATGCCTTCTACATTCCTATGGCAGTGTGGCTCTCGGAAGGGTCTTGCGTCCTCTCGCGTGTCCTCTCGAATCAACTTCGACTGCATCACGGCACACGGTAGCTCCACCTGGGGGGACTGGGTCGGCCAGAGGGGCCAGGGCCATACCACTGGGGATAGGGCTCGGTGCAACGATGCTCAGGCACGTCACGAAGGCCCTCCTTCGCATCTTCGCCCGTTTGGCCCTGTGCTCTGGCCCGACACCGCCTGCAGCTGCTGAAGCACATGGACGCCCGATGGCCTCTTTGCGTCCCTGCCCCGCGTCCCTCGAGGGAATCAGAAGGAGCACGAGGTCTGGCGGCTCAACGGATCCTCGACGGGCCCATCCCTGCGGATTCGAGGGAAGAGCGGTGGATGGATAGCATCCTGTTTTTGTTAAATGCTGATTTTTTGTCCAAACTGCCCCCCGCGCCCCCACCAGGCGACTGGCCGAAATCCTGCGCCCCGCTGGCGACGCCAACCAACATTGAATTTGGGGCAGGGGGCGCGTTGAAGTTTGCGCCGACACCCCAGTCTTGAGGGCGGTGCAGGATTTGCCCGTCAACCGAGCCACTGCCCGTCAACCGAGCCACGTTGACCATGACCAAGATGCCGCGGAATCTTGTCGACGCCGATCTCGGTCATGGTCCATGCCGGCCGTCGCCGATTCGCGATCATGACCCACGAATTGGCGATGGCCAAGTCGGAAGATGACCGACGCCGACGTTTCTGCGTTCAGTCTGAATCATGGTTGCAGTTTTCTGTCCCTCCAATCCTTACTCTTTGTGGTCGACTATGAGAAGCCCCCTGCCTTCTCATCGGCGGCTCGCCAAGGGGGGACGTGAGAGGAGGCAGGCCTTCTTGGAAGGCGGCAGGGCCTGTCAGAAGCCCCCCCCGGCCCCCAGCCCGCTGAGAAGTCGTTTGTGGCCTCGGAGATTGTTTCCAGAAGGCTTACCGACCGCCTCTCGCCTTCTGAGCTTGCCGAGAAGACCCGCCCTCTTCTGACCTCTCCCTGAGCGCCCCCTCCCGTGGCCTCCTCCCCCGCCCTCGGCACATCCGGCGTGCCGAAGGCGGCCGACCGCAGGCTCCAGAGGATTCGTGCCGCCCGATTCCAGACTGATGCGGCCAGCAGAGGAGCCGCCGCCGCCTGCACAGCACGAGGGCCCCCCGCATTTGATGATCCGATCGTCGAGGGCGTCCGCAATGGAATCGACTTGTTTCGTTCTGGCAGGCATTGGTGCCAGAGGAGAGCGCCGACGTGGCGTCGGCGCATCTGCGGAGTTTCAGGGAGGCTCGGCCGCTGAGAGGGCCCTCTGCCTCCTCCCCCGGGCGCGCCGCCGATTCTCGGAAGCTTGCCCTCACCCTGACCCCCCTCCCCCCAAACGAGCCTCTGCGCCCGTTTCAAGGGTTGATCTCTCCAGGATCTCTGGCCAAGGGCCTCTCCAGGGCTTTTGACACTCAACCCCAAGTGCTGGTTCTTGTAAGGTGTGCTTCATTAAAAATTTAGTGCTGTGCGCTCCCCCGTTTTAGGGCACTCGATTCTATTCCAGTCCCTGGCCCTGTGCGTGCCTGGGCGCCCCTGCCCTGCATCGTCTGCATCCCTGCTGCGTGGCCGACCGTGAGAAGCCCCACTGCTCTCTCGGAAGGCCGCGTGGGGCGCGACCACAGCCACGACCTCGTCGACCAAGACGTCGACCAAAACGTCGACGACGAACACGTCGGCGACGACGGCGGCGACGGCGGCGTCGACGGCGGGAAGGCTGCCCCCCCTTCTCGCGAGGCTGCCCTCTCCCTGAACCCCCCCCCTAACACAACAAGAACCCGCCAACGAGGAGGCTGGGGCTGGCAGCGGCGCTCTGCGCCCCGCTGGCGGCTGCTTTGCCCCGCCGGGCGAGGGCGAGGCAGCTGGCGTTCCAGGAGCGGCAGGTGCTGCCGCCCAAGGCACGGCCGCGGCCCGCGCCCGCGGGGGAAGGAGGCGGAGGAGAATACGAGAGGGAGGAGGAGGAGGAGGAGGAGGAGGACGGATGACCGCGTTCGACGAACCCTCAGGCCGAGAGAGAGAGAGAGAGAGAAAGAGAGAGAGAGAGAGAGAACAAAAAAACAAAAAAATGAGAGAGAGAGTAGAGGAGGACTAGTGCAAACCCGAGACCCAGCAACGATGTTGCAATACAACTTCCCTCCAAGTTCCGTTTTCAAAGGTCCTTCATATTTTCATTGAAGGAAGGACCCCGTTGGAGGACTACCGTCTGGAAATGCTGAGACGTGTCAGAACACCACTCCGGGGACTTCAACGCCGCGAACCAGCGTTACTGTCGCGCCTTGACGATCCTGAATCGCGCCAGAACACCATTCCTGGGACTTGAACACCGCGTATCAACGTAATTGTTGCGCCCTGACGATCCGACATCCTGCCAAAACACCGTCTCTGGGACGCCAACCATAGAAAGAGCGTGTTCTACCGCTGCTGGCGGAAAACCAGGGGAGTCACTGGGGGGTCCCAACCCGTCCCCCCCCTCCCCCCTCGAAAACTAGGGGGGGGTCACTACCTGTTCGAACCCCCCCCCCCCTCCCCAGCCCATCATGAAAAAGGGGGGGGGTCACTACCGGTTCGAACACCCCCCCGCCCCCACCCTCGAAAACCAGGGGTGTCACTACCGGTTCGAACCCCCCCCCTCCCCCCCCCCCTCGCCACCGGCAAACGATTCCCGCTCCTCGGGGGACAGTTGGGGAGTGGTGGGGATACTGGGACGTGGGAACGGTGGTCGTGGGGACAGTGGTGCGGGGACAGTGGGACAGTGGTGCGGACAGTGATGGGGACGGTGCGCAGTGGTTAGGGACACTGGGGAGGGTACAGCGGGACAGTGGTGGGGACAGTGGGACATTGGTGGGGACGGTAGTGGTGGGGACAGTGGTGAAGGCGGTGGTGAGGACGGTGGTGGGACAGTAGTACAGTGGGGAGAGTGGTGGGGACAGTGGGGACAGTGAGACAGTGGTGAGAACAGTGGGGACAGTGGGAAAACACAGTGGGACAGCGGCGGGGACAGTGGGGAAAGTGGGACAGTCGTGGGAACAGTGGGGGCAGTGGGACAGTGGTGGGGAAAGTGGGGGAGAGTGGGACCGTGATGGGACAATTTGTTGGGAGAGTAGGGACAGTGAGACACAAGTGGGGGCACTGGTGGGGACAGAGGAGACAATGGTGGGAACATGGGACAGTGGTGGGGACTGTGGGACAGTGGTGGGGACAGTGGTGGGGACAGTGGGAATGTGGTGGGGACAGTGGGACAGTGGTGGGGACAGTGGTGGTAGGGACGGTAGTGGTGGGGACAGTGGTGAAGGCGGTGGTGAGGACGGTAGTGGGACAGTAGTGCAGTGGGGAGAGTGGTGGGGACAGTGGTACAGTGGTGGGGACAGTGCGGACAGTGGGACAGCACAGTGGGACAGCGGCGGGGACAGTGGGGAAAGTGGGACAGTCGTGGGAACAGTGGGGACAGTGGGACAGAGGTGGGGAAAGTGGGAGAGAGTGGGACCGTGGTGGGCCAATTTGTGGGGAGAGTGGGAACAGTGAGACACAAGTGGGGGCACTGGTGGGGACAGCGGCGACAATGGTGGGAACAGTGGGGACAGTGGGAGTGTGGTGGGGACTGTGGGACAGTGGTGGGGACAGTGGTGGTCGGGACAGTGGTGAGGGCGGTGGCGAGGTCGGTGGTGGGACAATGGGACAGAGGTATAGTGGGGACAGTGGTGGGGACAGTGGGGACAGTGGTGGGAACAGTGGGACAGCTCGGTGGGACAGCGGCGGGGACAGTGGAACAGTGGGACAGTGGGGACAGCGGGGACAGCGGGACAGTGGTTGGGAGCGCGGGGAGAGTGGGACCATGGTGGGAACAGTGGTGGGAACAGTGGTGGCAACAGTGGTGACAGTGCGACAGTGGTGGGGGCACTGGTGGGGACAGCGGGGACGGTGGTGGGAACAGTGAGGACAGTGGTGCTGGGGACAGCAGTGGGGGATGTGGTGCTGACGGTGGTGGGGACCCGGGTGTTGTTTGCTGGCGGTGAGGGGGGGAGCGGCGAGGGGGAGGGTTCGAACCGGTAGTGACCCCCCCTTGGTTTTCTGGAGATGGGGGGGGGAGGGATTCGAACCGGTAGTGACCCCCCCCCGGGGGGGGGGGTTGCCGGGGAAGGGGGAGGGGGTACCGGCAAGGGGGGATTTTCGGAGGGGGGGGACTCCCGGGTTCCAGACTAAACAGCCCTGGGGCTTACTAAACAGTCCTACCCGGTTCGATTCCTTGCCTTGGGTGCGTTTATTGAGCGCCTTTGCTTGTCGGGGTGCTCCAACTCGGTTGCTGGAGCACGTGGCGCCTCCTCGGTTGCTCCAGCTCTTGGTCCCCCTTGCCCGCAGCCGCCGCCGCCGCCGCCGCCGGAGGTGCGCGTGCGGCAGATGCAGGCGCCGCCCCCCCTTCGGAAGGGAGGAGGAGAAGTGGAGAAGGAGGAGGAGGAGGAGGAAGGAGGAGGAAGGAAGGAGGAGGAGGAGGGGGAGAAGGAGAGGAGGACGAGAAGTAGGAGAGGAGGAGGAGAGGAGAGAGGGGAGGAGAGGAAGGAGGAGGAGGAGAGGAGGAGGAGGACAGGAGGAGGAGGAGGAGGAGGAGGGGAGGAGGAGGGGGAGGAGGGATGGAGGGAGGGAGGGAGGGAGGGGGAGGGAGGGGAGGGAGGAGGGGAGGGAGTAGGGAGGGAGGAGGGAGGGAGGGGGGGAGGGAGGGAGGAGGAGGGAGGGAGGGGATGGAGGGAGGGCGGTAGGGAGGGAGGGAGGGAGGGAGAGGAGGCGGGGGGAGGAGTGAGGAGGAGGACGAGGAGGAGGAGGAGGAGGAGGAGGAGGAGGTCCGTAGCCATTTTGGCTCAGCCGCTGCGCCCCAACATCTTGGCTCTATGTGATTGCTCATGGCGCTGGATGCCGGGCGCGCTCTGGTGGCTGCGGGAGTGCCCCTGCGCGGGGCGGCCGGAGCGCGTGCTTCGGCAGACCGGCTCATTTTCAAGCTGAAGGACGAGCTGGCCAGCCTCTCCTCCAGGCTCGCGGAGGCGCACGGGCTGCTGGCGTCCCTCGAGGTGGACGTCGACGCGGTGGCGCCCGGCTCCGGGGGCGACGAGCTGAGGCGTAGGCTTCGGCTTATCTTGCCAGTGCTCGCCGCCGGCCTCGCGGGCGCCCGGGTCGCGGGCACGGCGCGCGCCAGGCGCAACCTGGCGTCGCACAACTTCGACATCTCGGCCGAGACCATCCAGTGCGCCTCCAAGCGGGTACTGAACCAGCTCCAGCGGGTTGGGCGCTCGAGCTCGGCATCGGCAGCAGCTGGCACGGCGCGTGGCGGAGGTACGGGACTTCGTCCAGGAGCTCCCGTCTTCACCCCTGGGGCTGGGCGGTGGGAGCCTCTGGAGTTCCAGGCGCGTCCCCGCCCTGGCTTGCGCTGCACCTGCGGCGCCGTGGTGTTCATCGAGTGGGAAGCCTTCGAGAGCGGGGTCGAGCTGCTGGTGAAGGGCGAGGCTCTGGCTCCGTCCTGTCGGCATTGCGATGCCGTGGACCGCTGGCCGCAGCTTCCCTCTCGAGGGGTGCCCCCCCCTCAGAGGATGGCCCTGGGGGTGCGCAGGCGCTGCTGGATGACGGAGTCCGTGCGGCGGTGCTGAACATCGAGACTGTCGCGGAGGTTGAGGAGCGCCGTGCGGGCAGTGATATGCGTCTTCCTTCCGTGCTTGGAAGACCCAGCGGCACGAGTTCCAGGTGGTGGGCGTCTCGGGAGTCCATCGCGCGCGGGTGGCTGCATCTTGTTTCTGACCCCGTACGCGACGATGACGGAGCTCGCGCGGTGAAGGCTGGTGTATGGGTCCCTGCTGGCCTCCCTCCCGATCCTGGCGAGGGATTGTTATTCAGTTTGCCGTGATCTCCACCATCCTCCAGGATCTGCTCGTGTATTTCTGGTCGCTCTCGTATGCAACTTGTTTTTCCGCGTACGGGGCTGGTTTCCTGGTACTGTTTTGTTCCACGTACGGGGCTGGCTTCCTGGTACTGTGTTTGGTCATCGGTATTGAATGTGGCTCTGCTGTCCGTCGTGGTCATCGGTATTGAACGTGGCTCTGCTGTCCGTCGTGGGCTGCGAGGCGGTGTTTCGTGGGAGGGCCTCTTGAATTACACCGTAAATGCGCAAGTATTTTTGTTCCTGGTGGAGTCCTCTTCGTACCACGCGTGGTGCCGAAGCTCTTCCTCGTGTTTGTGCTTTTCCTGGTCAGGTGCAACTTCCTGTTCATCCTGCTCCTGGGCTTGCTCATCACGTGCCGCTGCAGTCTCAGCCTCCAGTCTGCAGCGTCGTTTGAGGCGCCGTGGATGGCAAAAAAAAGGAGGAGGAGGGGGAGGAGGAGGAGGAGGACGAGAAAAAGGAGGAGGAGGAGGAGGAGAAAGAGGGGGAGGAGGGAGGAGGAGGAGGAGGAAAGAAAAAAAGCGCGAGGCAGACGGCGAAGGTTCGCTCCGCCGAGACTGCGGGGGGCCTGGTCTCCACCTGAGGAGCCAGACCCCCCGACCGCGTACACGAAGCAGTCGTGCCACGGCTCAGACCCCGACGGACTTACCCATGCCGACGGGCATCACGACGTGCCCGCAGCGCCGGGCCGACCTCCAGGAGGGCGACCACCAGGCGCCTGGCTCGCCACCCAGGCCTGCAGCGCCGAGAGCTCGCCCGCGTCGATGTCGCCGACACCCTCCGGGCCGCCGCTGGCCGTCGCGACGGGGAGCTGCACCAGCTCGAGCGCAGCCGCGACGCGGGCGGCCCGCGCTGCGGGGAAGCCAGGCACCACCTTGCCCTTGTCCTTGCCCTTGCCCTGGCCCGTGGCGCTCACGACGACGGGCAGCGCATCCGCCCACTCGTCGGACGCCAGCGGCGAGGCGGGAGCCTCGACCGATGCCAGGTACGCAGGACGCCCGCGCTGCGAAACTGTCGCTGGAGGCCGCGCGCGGCGCGGTCCTGGCGACGCACGCGGCGGCCAGGCTGGCGGGCGGCCAGCGGGAGGAGGAGGAGGAGGAGGCGGAGGAGGAGGCGGAGGAGGAGGAGGAGGAGGAGGAGGAGGAGGAGGAGGAGGAGGGGGAGGAGGAGGGGGAGGAGGAGGGGGAGGAGGAGGAATGGCGGAATGGCGGAGATGTGCACACACGTGCGCGCCGCGGGGGGCCAGCGCTGGACCTGACCAGCCCTTGACCCCCCGACCGTGACGAGGCCCTTGGAGACGCCGAAGTAGAGCAGCGTCACCTGCGGCCGAGAAGCTGGGCCATGACCTCGGGAAGGAAGGGAGAAGTGCCGTCACGCTCGGCCTTCTCCAGCAGCTCCAGAAGGCGACTCTTCCTCTTCGGCACCGCGACAGCCTCCGAGACGCCGTCGCCCAGCGTTGCGCCTGCCATCGGCGCCAGCGGGATCTGCGCGTCCATGAATTCCTCGGCGACCGCACCGCCGCGCGCTTCCCCCTGCACCGCGCACGAGGTATCCGACACCGCACCCTCGGCCGACTCCATACGTCGTGCATCGCAAGGGTAGCCGCACGCCACCGCCGCGCCAGCACTCCGCCGCAGCTCAGGATGAGCCACGCGACGGCCAGCCACCTCCGAGTCCACGTCCACGCTCTCGCACACGCTGTTCATGGAGTCCGTCACCGCCACAACCCCATGGCTCGAGCCGAGCCCTGTGGCCTGCAGCCTTGACGGCCCGCGCCTCGACGACGACTTCCACGGGCAGCTTCACGAGGGTCGCAAGCTCCCGCAAGGCGTCCCCGAGGCGGTGACGATGGTGGCCAAGCTCCGCATCGAGCCGCCGGTGGAGCAGGAGGGCCTGCTCCAAAGCCGCCAGCCTCCCGCGCAGCTCCTCCACAGTGTCGCCGTCGATGCAGGATTCGATGCCGATGCTGCTGACCAGCTCCGTATCCGCCTTCAGCGCACACTCGCGCCGAAGCCGTCGTGCGAGGTTAGCAGCTGACTTCCTCGCCCAGGCCTTACCTCGTGACTCCTCCACTGACACATGCTCGGGCCGAAGGCCCCGCAGGTCTCCCGCAGTCATCCTCAAACTTAACGCGAAACACTTCCAGCAGCAGAAGCAGCAGCAGCCCGAGTGCACATCACGAGCTGGCTTGAGCAACATGGGGTTCGCCCGCTGTGGGCGGCTTGAGCCAAAA